TAAAAAATTATTAATTTATTGTGAATTTTCCATTTTTACTTAAGTTCAACATTTCTATTTACCTTGTAAAATAGAAAGGAATAGATATGCTGAAATCTTAAACTATTCAATAACCTAAAGAATCTAATGCAGGTGTCTACATATTATATTTTCCCCCCTAGAATTAAATGAAAATAGAGAAACAATCTTAGAAAAGTATAAGCCAGGGGTGGGCAAGCAAGAGTTCAGTGGGAGCCGAAATGTAGGTTTTACAAAATGCATGGGAGCCGCAGTTCTATACTTTTTTATTCTGTACCGCAGTTCTGTACTGCAATTTTATTATATAATATAAAACAAATATTGAATTTTTTTAATAAACATATTTTCACAAAATTGTGGAAATAAAATTGTAAAAATAATAATAAAAAGCAGAAATTAACACTTTCAGCAAAGAACCGCATGTAACTCAAAAAGAGCCGCATTTGCCCATGTCTGGTATAAGCAAAACAAGCAAAAATACCAAGAAGAATATAAACAAAATTAACAAAAAATGCTAACAAAATAGTTAGTCCATATTTTCCAAATTAGATTTTCTAGGTTTTCTTTTCCTGAAATTGTCTTAAATATAAATTATTAAGCAATCATTGATTCAATAACATAACTGATAACAGTGTTATTGTGAAAAATTTTTTTAAATCAAGCAATGAGTTGCATAACTTCCTGGCAAACAAATTTAAAATTTATGTGGCACCATCTGTTATGATATTTTATTAATAATACTTTATATACAGTTGAACCCCCTATAACACTGTTGATAATTCCATTTTATATGAATTCCATGTCGCATGAGTCACTTAGATTTTACAAATACGTGAGCCAGGCTGTGAATGGCTCACATATTTGTAAAATCTAAGTAACTCATACAAAATGGAATCATATAAAATGAAATTATCAACAGTGTTATATGGGGGTCGAGTGTATTATTAATTATTATAAAATAATAAAAAGTGTAATTTTGAGGGCAGAGAAGAGTTTTATAAAAATTTGTAAATTCTAATAGGAAGTAAATTTATCATTAAATCTGATCTCACTTCAGATAGAGAGGGTCATATGTCCTATCTCCCCACTCCTCTCAACCTTTCACTATCAAAAGTTAAAGGTCGAGAGGGTGCATCAATGCCCTTTATATACAAGCTACCATGCCAAATTTTGTTTCTTAATTATCATCTCATCCTGAGATATTAAACAAAATACATTAACACACACACACACACACACAGACAGACAGACACAGACACCCGTGGAATTTTTTCCATTGTTTTTTACTTTTTCGGGTTTAGCAAGTCTCAAAATGTGGAGATTTGCAAAAAACTCAGAAGGCCAAATTTGACACAAATTCAATACTTTTCCATGTTATATAAATAACAAAAAGATAACAGGAAGGTGAAAGGAATCTGTAACAAATTTTTAAATAATACAGACATTGGATTATATACTGTAATTTTGTAAAGTTTATGACATAAAATTAATGTTCTATTATTGATTAGCAGTTAATGATCAACATAACTGAAGTATCAATAGTTTAAAGAGGTCAAATGTTAATAATATGTAATTTCCAGCATGAAATGATTACAAAAGTTTTTGTATCTCAAAATGTAATTTTTATTGTAAATAATTTATTTATTCTTCTTTTGATAAAACCTTAATAATAACAATTAATTTTTGTTATTTTACATTTTTGAACCAATATTGTATTTTAATAAAAATATATTCAAGCAGAAATAATAAAATCTTTTCAACAACAACACAATAAAATGGAATTATATTTTATTAAATTTAACTTTTTTTTTTATAGAATATTTTATGATTTAAATCTATTTAGAAAATAGAATATACTTTATTAACTGAATATTTTTAAAACCTTTATTAATATAGGAACATTCCATCAATAAACTAATTTTTATTATTGAGGTATTACCTCAATAATAAAAATCAATGACAAGATGTAGCTATAAAAATGTAGGCAGAAAGCATAAATAAAAATTTATGGATGGAACAAAGTAATTTATTAAATTTATTGATACAGAATTTGTAAAAGTAATTTCCTGCAGTAAATTGATATGTATTTATTGAAATTAATCAAATATTAAATGTTTGATTTTTGCTTTAAACATGAATAAAAGTGAGATCACTGGATATACAGTCGACCCCCCCATAACACTGTATATACATGAGCCATTCACAGCCCGACACACGTATTTGTAAAATACGTGTGTCAACTGTACTGTTTTGTATAAACAAAACAGTACAGTCGACCCCCCTATAACACTGTTGACAATTCCGTTTTATATGAATTCCATGTTGTATATTTTACAAATACGTGTGTCGTGCTGTGAATGGCTCAAGTATATACAGTGTTATGGGGGGTCGACTGTATATCCAGTGATCTCACTTTTAACTAAATATGCTTCTTTCAATAATAATTACTTAAATTTTTCTTATATTTTCTCAAGATATTATTTTCAGAGAGATTTATAGAATATTTTCTCAATACATTGCATATATGTAAAATATTTACTGGTATTATTTTATATTTACATCATCTATAGAGTGTTATATATAAAATACCTATTTTATTATAACATATTGCTCAGCATATGGGAACAACATATCTTTTAAGGCAAATAATAAAAAGATATCTGTATTCCAGTCAAACCATAACAGTGTCTTCCTATATAGTACCATCCTTGTAAAATGCTAATGAATATTAGCATTTTACAAGGGTACTAATGAATATTTTGAACCAATCTTCCCCAGATATTCCACCACTACTTTATAAATATTAAATACAGAATCCTTCAATATTTATAAATTACTGAATATAATTTTCAATGCAAAACTACAATGTTCAAATCATCAAATCACTTAACTTTAAAAAGGACACCCGAGGAATATAAAAAGCAATATAATGTACATATTCAATCTTTACAAGTTTCATTTTTATCTTTTTATATATATATAAGAATTAACCAAGATGAAAGTTTTACATTCAAAAAAAGGATGTATTTGAGATAAAGAGGATGCTTGGTGATCCTAAGTTTATATATTTTTGAAGTTCAGTTACTATATTTTCATGTATATAACTTTTAAGTTATCTATGATTAAAAGATTAAAAGATATACTATTGTAGCCTATGGTATATACCAATAGGTTACACACAAATTTTAAATTGCAATCTCAAACTTGTATCTATGGAGTAATAGCTGCTCCCATAAGCACAAGGAAGTTGGTGGAGCAGATTATGCAAAGATTTTATTTCTGTTCTAGAATTTTCTGTGGGGTATACATCATTGTAGGTTATCAGTTAGTGTGGTTTTTACACATGAAAATACAGTACTTTAAATTAAATTTTTTCTATTAATTAACTTTATTTTTATATTAATTTGCATAATAATATATATTAAATAACACAAACATATGCACACAGAAATATGAAGTTCATTTATTTGACGAAGGTCCTGTTTCTTCTGAAATTCTTGTTATTTGTGATAAAGTTGTGAAGTTTCATTTGTCGCTTTTTTCCTTAAGCAGATGTCCGTATCAGAAGATCACATCAAAATGCCTTGTTTTGCTTTTGCACTCCTTTCAAAATCTGGATCATTCACTACAATTGAACAATTTCTGTTATCGTTACTAAACTTTTACTAAGGAAATCTGTAGAGAAATTCTTTGAGTTCTTTGTTTTCAGAATCTCTATTTTCCAGTTCTACAGGAATTCTTTGTTCTGCCAGTTCTTGAAGGTCATCATTGGGAAGGCTCTCACCAGAAACCTGCAGTAACTCCTCAATATCCTGCATCTAGACCTGCTGAATCGATTAGATTGACAATTCGGTCAACCTAACGATACAGCGATAGTCTCTTCTCATTGAGAATTCTTGGATATCTTCAGCCATAACCTCTTCCACACTCTTTTGAACTCTTCTGAATTACTAAATGACTTATTTTGCTTTTCAAACAATATCCTTATCATCAAGTCATGCGATTTTCAAACTCTCAAACTCATGTATGGACCTCATTATTAAACATAATTCTTGTTGTTCAACATTCTTCAGTTTAACAGCAAACTTAATTTATTGCAACATAGTCAAACTAACTGTAATGTTAAATTAAAATTTGGCTATACATACATTTTTAAAATTTTTTATACTGTACTTGGTACTTAATAACTACAGGACATATATTTAAAATGATTGATACATATAAATTTTACAAATTATTTATATTTTTAAAAAATAATCCTTGATTTCTTTTTATTTTTTGCTAAAACATTTAGCAGAAAAATGAACAAGACTGATTTAAATTAAGAGNAAAAAGAGTATATAAAGAGAAAAAGGTTGAAAAAGATTAAATTATATTTATTCTATTATTCTCTTTACAAAAATAGTATAAATATTACAGCATATCATATTTAATTGATAAAAACATCATATTTTGTAGAAAATATTCCCTATGTTTATTTATATGAATATATTCTGTAGAAAGTTATATAATAAATTTTTTGATTTAAGTTGATGTTATGCATTAATTATCTTTTTAATGTTTTATACAACAATGCATTTTTAAAAAAAACAAACTGTCTTCTCAGATTCTATTAAGTTATCACTTTATATAAAAATATTTGTTCAAACTTATTAACAGCTACCAGTAATTTATGACCTAACTAAGGATATAGGAGTTAGACTTGTAAAAACAATAACCCAAAATAAAAACAACAATAAAGTAAGTTATCACTAATATTCATTCAAAAAAGTAAAAAGTAATATCCACCATGCATATTTTATATCATTTAATTTTTAAATATAAAGGATGAAAATAAGAGTAAAATATATATATTTATTTTATTTAAATAAAACTTATTTATTATTATTATTTAAACGTTCATTGCTATGAATGGTTTCAAATTTAAATTGGAGATTCAAAATTAAAGTTTAATTTTCAAAATATAACAAAATTAAACTAACCTGTATCATCAGTATCAATTTTTTCAGCTTCTGAACAAGACGAACGAACATTATAATTTTTTCCCAAGAAATACCTAAAATATTAATTTAAAATAAGTGTTGATTTAAAAATGAATATTTCAGTTATATATATATACATACATACTGTATATATACACAGTATATACTATATATTAAATATATAAATGAAATTTTTATAATCATCAAACTTTTTTACAAGTTGTTTTAGAGTAACAATTTTCTAACCTGTCTATTCTTCTCAACTGTTTATTAATTTCACTTTGTTCACTGATTAATTGCATTTGTTGAGTTGCTACTTGTTCCAATTGTGTTTGAATCTGATTAACTGCATTAAAATTCTGTACTTCTCTAGCCTGTTGTAAACATGTCTTTAATTCTTCCTGCTGTGTTCCCAAGGACTTTAGTTGTTCTCCAATAGCTTCTATTCTCTCCTAAAAACAAAATATTATGCAGTGAATTAAATAAAACAAAATCATTCCTATAAATGCAAATATATTATATAGATTTATTAACACATTTATATATTGCAATAAATAACAAATGTAACACCAATATAACATAGTTAATATGAATTTTAAAACAATTTAAAAGAAAAATAGAATATCTTATACAAAGATCAATAAACTCACAAATAAACAATAACAAAATCTTATTTTCTGAATAAATAAAAAGTTTAATTTAATATGATATTATTATTATTTCATTTATTTAAATAGATGAATAAATGAGATTATATATAATCTCAATCATAATAAACAAGTGCAGTTTATCAACTATATTTTATTTTTCACTAAAATATCTTCAAAAATTTATATATCACATATGAATTCTTTGTAAAAATGAGACTTAAGAACTTTTTAACCATTTACAAAATTATTAACTGCTTATTAAGGAATAAATTAGATAATAAGACGATGATAATTTCATTACTGGGCTGCAATTTGAAAAAATTGTAGACGTATAAATTCCCACTGTTGTCCATCTGTCTGTTTGTCCTTCCTTAATCTTGAGAAAGGAGTTAGATAGATAAAAGATGAGACAAGATATGGAAAGCTTAGGGGCAGGAGGCCCTAATTAACTATATACAAACTTTTGATCTATACTGGAAGTCATGTTATTTCAATTTTAAAATTTTCCACTGAATGAAGTTAGATAAATGACCAACATAACTCTATTGCTAGCAGAAAAAGTATGATGTACAGGGTCAAGACACTACTAATTTGAGGTGACAAGCATATATTTTAAATTAAATTAATTAAAAATGTGATTAAAACTTGCAACCCAGCATTATGATGATGTCACAATAAATAATTGCTCATTCAAAATTCTATTTTAAATTTTATTATATATCTTATTTTAAATCTAGGATTCGCAACTCAAGTATTTCCAAAGGATATCCTAGATTAAACTGTTTTTAAACAACTTTACTCTCAAATATATTATACAGATTTAATTAAATAATGTATTTATGAATGTTTAGGTAGGTCTACTAACAAAAATATTTTTATCAAAAATCAGGCAGTGGACCACAATGAAACATTTAGCAGCCTACACGTGACCAAAGGCCATAAATTATACACATATTTTAAATATAAATTTAACATATAGATCATAATTTTCTATCTTTTTTCTATTATTATTATTTTAAAATTAATAAAATACATGCCTAAATTTTGTTTCCAAGCTATTCACTGTTATAAATGTTGCTTAAAAAATGCAAAAGTTTAATGGAAATGTGTAATTTTCATTTTAAAATTTCACAAAATGCAAACTCGCCCATTATAATATATTATTTCAGTTTAATATTTTTTTTGACTATGTTGGAAAGAGGATTGGAAAGTTGAAAGTGATGGGAAGGAGAATGCAGAGAAGACTAAAACTGAGATGGAGAGACAAGATGGCAGAGGATTTGGAAGAGAGAGGATACCCTGGATAGAGAGAAATGGAGAAGACAGATTAAAGATGGGAATGCTGATTCCATATAAACATTGGAAAAAGCACAAAGAAAGAAGTTCAATATTTTTAAAAATTTATACAGTTCAGTTATTTCTCCTATAACTTGTTATATGTGTTCCTAAAAATCACAGTGTTACAGAATTTTGTTTAATAAAAATAACAAGGCTTATGGAAAAAACAGAGCTAAGGTCAGATCACTCAAAACTGTATAATCTTTCCAAGCATTTTATTACACTTTTTTCTTAATTCATTTCAATGCTTCACACTTTCTTTTTCCATCAATTATTTGGATTCTTATAATTGGGATGTTTACTCACATTTAAGATGTCATTGTTCAAAGTTTATCAAGACAAGTACAAAAAATTTGATAGAATAGGGATATACAAATTTGGGCAACACACTGGAGTAAATAAACAGGGGTAAAACAACATTGAGATATGTGTATTTTGTGTATTACTCTCCAAATCATTACATTCAGCTGAATAGTATTACTTTCCTGGCTCTGTTATATATAACAGAGGAAAAGTATGACAATCTGTCAAAAAATGACCCCCCCCTAGATTTTTACATTTTTGGACTCAGGGCACCTTGAAATATCAAGAAATGCAAAAAAATTTCGGGTTTTTTCTGTATGTATGGATGATAGTGTGTGGGGGAGCATGATTAAGCTTCAAAGAGGGTGAACAAACCCACTTTGTAGCTTAATAACTCCTGTGCTTTTTGTTGAAAATGTCTGAAATTCTGCAAGGAGGTTTGTTTATTAGGAAGATTAATGCTATTAAATTTTGGTGATTAATTAAAAGTTGAGGGGGAGGGGAGATAAAGGTGATCATGTCTATCTCCAGTAGGGTCAGACTTAATGACAATTTTACTCATTATTGGCATTTGCAATTTTTATAAAAACCTGTTTCTATCCTCAAAATTAAGCTTTTTGCCATTTTATAATAGTTAAAAATATAAAAAGCTTTTTTTAAATAAAATATATTTTAAATATAAAAGTTTTTGAAATAAAATATCATAACAGATAGTGCCACCAAATGTTGCCGGGAAATTAAGCAACTCATTGCTGGATTTTTTTGTGTGTTTAACCTGATGTTACTCAGTGTTAGTGCAAATTATGGTCATCTTGTGAAAAACTAAATTTGAGCAAAGATTAAAATTTTCTTCCAATAGTGAGACTACTGATCTTTATCACTGCTTTCTTAATTATCCTCAATAAACAGAGACCAAGATTAATAAATCAATTCACTTCATTTGCCTATTTAACAATGATTTTGGATTGGTATTTTCCCTCTTCAGGCTCATGACTTCTGTGTCTCAGTTATTAAACAGTTTACAAATTAAGTGAGCAAAGATGTTTTCATATTTTGGCAATTTTATTCCTCCATTTATCTATCACATATGGACAAATTCATGTTATACTTATCCCTCCCTGTCACATTTTTTCATCAACTTTTAGACACTTTCATGCTGATGTCACACTTGATATACCACCCCAATATTAAAATCAAGCAATTCTGTAAAACAGATCTATAGTATATTAATCTATTCATATTTCTAAACAAGGCAAAGATAATTTGAAAAATAGGCCAATAGAAAAATAAAATGTAATTCACTGACTTTACCACAGAAGTGTCTGATTACATTATAAAAGTAACTCCTAAACTAAAGATAATATGCTGTATATCAGTATACATCTTTCAATGGTATCTTTATCTGGATCTGTAAAAGTTAAATTGTTGTAATCATCCTTTCATATTAAAAGTTTCACTAGAGTGTTTCCAACAGAACACCTCTTCTACTAAAAGGCAAATACTTAAATAAGCAAGAACTTGCTATGTGATAACTGATCAAAATACTTATGCAGAATGATTTTGATTAAAAAAAATATATATTCAAATAGGAAAATTTTTGAGAATCTTTAAACATCAACATTCTACTAACATTCTTCAATTCCCATTATAATGTCACAAAATTTTTACATAGCCTCCCATCACCAATGCAGACATCATATTTGAATGACTCCATTGAGACACATTATAACAAAAGAAACTGTATTTAAAACAACATTACTTTTTGATAATAAAGATAAATGAGACAAAATTACATAAGAATTTCTCAGCTTTCATACTTTTTATAAGTAGATTTTTAAATAATCGTATTTTAATTCTAAAATTCATAGCTAATCAAAATTAGAACATGACAGTTAATCATATAATTTGTTGTGAATTCAGTACTGGTAATAGAAAAATTGTAAAAATTGTTACACACTTACATAAACAAGCTGACTCCATGTAATATAACAGAAGCAAATATGCTAGACAATATTAAGGGAGTTCACTTTTATAATGTGGTTTAAATGTTTTTCAAGTAACTGGTCCCATCTTTAGAATCCAAACAAAATGTAATATTAATAATTCTATCTAGTATATTTTTTCACTCAAAATTTCTTAAATTATATTTCAACTCTATACCATATATAACTAATCATATATTTTCAATTGTAAATGATGTAAAATATCTTAAATTAATAACTGCAAATTTTACAAGACAAATCTGAAATTATATTTTCAATTTATATTTATGACAGCATATTTTGATGTAAGTCAAGATAAATTTTTTTGAAATTTAAAAAAAAAAATGTTTAAGCAGTATAATAAATTGAAGCATTTTTAATTGTAAAATTTACCATAAAATTTTTATTTTACATTTAATATTTATAACAATATCTTACACAAACAGATTATTTTCAGAAGTCTGAGTCAGCCTAATCTGTTAAAAAACCTCCTTTTGCTAAGATGCCAACCTTTCCAAAATAACATTTGACAACTTACAAATTATTTTTTATGGAAATACTTCTTTTGAGTCAATTAATGTTTATAATGATATTTATTTGTACTTTGTTAGGTCCTTCCATTTCTAAAATCAGTTTTGTATTTTTTAATATATAAATTTTATTACTAAATACCATTTACAATGTAACATTTTATAAATTAACTGGAAAGTCAATTTGATCATAAATGTGAAATTGAATATAATCTACAATTATAAATTATTTAATTTTAAAAATTATATCTAACTATTTATGTAATTACAGTACATGCTTGCAAACTTAAACTAATTATTATCTGAAGTTGTTTGAATAGTAGGATTATATATAAAGAAAGGAAAGTCCTGAAAAACTACAGACAAACACAATCAAAACTTGATATAGTGCCCTCATAAAATGGTGTCACATTCATAAAACAGCAATGAATATTTGTGAACAGGTCATTCTCATATATACTAAATAGAGAACCCTTCAGTATAATAAACACAATTAATCCAATAAATACCTCAAATATCAAATAAACAACCATATTCTGTTATCAGACTATTAAGGCTAAGCAATTTGGCAGGAGGCAGGGCATCTGCCTCCTGCCAAATTCCAGGCAGATCTTTTCTTCCACAATATTCTAAAATTAATTTATAATTA